AATATCTAAATTTTAAGTATGCTTTTAAAAAGGCTTTCAGGCTTTATCAGGCCTTTTGAAGGCTCAGACTCGAGCTTAAAAAAAGGCCTACATACAGGCTCAGGCCTAAACCCAGACTTTAGACCTCTAATACAAATCCAGACCTATTTAGCTAAAATGTAGCCTAATCTTACCTATTTCCACCCTTACGTGACACTGTGAGTTTAACTCTTCCTAAAAGGTGACAAGTGCGTGAATTACACGATAAAAATCAAATGAGGATTTCATATAAGCTAAGAAATGCATTTTTTCAAAATATCTTTTTTTGATGTTCTAATTTTTGAACAAATTTAAATAAGCACCATTACATTGTTACCTCAGGCTGTAAAGGAAAAGATTAGTTTCCTTTAAATATACTACCCCGTACTTAATATAAGAACTAGTTTGATATTCAATTTGATCTTAAATATAAAACCACAATATACTTTTTTATATCATATTTATTTATTTTTCTGAAATAATTCTTGCAGTAATTGCATATATTAAATATTTTATTAAATGGTAGTTTTAGCTAATACAAATGATTGGCAAGAGTGTTTTAGGAAAGACAACACCTATTTATTACAAATAACCAACTTAACTCATTTTTTTAAGTTGTCTAAATTAATTAATTGAATCTTATATTATTTACTAAAGGTAGTATATAGAAGACAGAATGATCATTTTCAGATATAAAAAGATATATAATTAAGGTGAGGATAGAATTTCAACAATGTTAACAATATTATTGCCAAACGTATCGAAATGGTTTTTTCTAACTTTTCAAGATTAAAGTTGTTTAAGTGTTTTCGGAGATATGCCTTTGATTCTCATAGTGATATTTATTATTTAATATTATCTTTTGTTTTCATTCTTTAACTTTTACTTCACAAAAATTGCCACCCCATTGTATATGACGACATCTTATTAGTATTTTATAAGGAAAAAAAACATTAAAATATCCTTAAAAATTCTAAAAGACAAATTAATGTGAATGATTTTTAAAATCCCAAATAAGACCTCTTGTATTATTTTGAAATTTTAAAATATTATGAAATAATAATAACACCATCCATATTTTGGTGACTACTTTTATATAACTATTAACTACTTTACCTTAACTATTGAATACTTTTATTTTTAAAATTCCAGTGACTATTTTTATATAACTATTGACTACACAAAAATAGTAAATAACTAAGCAAAAAGTAGTCATTAGATTCCTAACAACATTTAATACTGTTTTTTGAATTTTTGAAACAAAAGTAGTTAATAGTGAAACTAGAGTAATCGATAGTTAAACAAGAGTAGTTATCAAATTTTTAAAAATAAAAGTAATCAATCACAATACTAGAATAGTCAGTAGCTAAACAAAAGTAGTCATCGGAATTCTAAAAACAAATGTAATCAATGGCTAAAAAAGAGTAATCAATATATATATATATAAAATAGTCACTGAGCTCTGGCAGGTCATCGAAACTTCAACAACTAGCCATTGACAGGGTCATTGAACCCAAAGCTCCGACAACTAAAAGCTGACGAAGGGTGTTGCGGTAGCAATATTTTAAAAAAAAAATAATGAAGAACATTTGTGTGATTTTGTAAGATTTGAAAATTTTGAAATGATAAAAAGAGTCTGAATTGAAAATTTAAAATTTATTGATACTAATTTGTCTTTTAACAAATTTTAAGACATTTTATTGTCTTTTTTTCCCCCTATTTTATAAAGCATCACTGTTTTTAATCTTATTGGATCCGAAAAAGGATCCTCGAAGACTAATGAAAGTTGAAGCCTTAAAAAAGGTGATAGTGATTAACTAAATATTTATTGGAGGAAAGTGATCGAGCCAAGAAAAAAAAAAAAAGAGTTCATGCATTTTTTATTATTCTAAATTTAAATTGCATAAAATTCTCCGGTACACATAATTTTTATTAATAACTTTTAATTAGAATTTAATTCTAAGGAATCTCCAAACTTTCGAGAATATACATGGAACCCCAAACTATTAATTTTATATTTCTTAAATGTTATTTCCGTGTGAATATAATCTTCTCAAATTTTGAGTTATGTTTAGATAATTTTTTAAAATTTAAGTCACTATTAGCATAAAATAATGACACAAACTAATAGTAGCCGAGTTATCTGCATAATTGTAAAATTAAGACATGTTTATGATAAAGTTTGAAAAGTTATTCAGATTATTCACATATGACATAAAGTTTAAGAAAATTGTGTATAGTTTAACACTTTAACCTTTTTTTTTAAATAAATTTTTGGAAAAATCATATTAGATATACCTAAACTTTTTATTAATTTTTAATTTGATACCTATGAGTTTTTTTATAATTAAATCATTTAATTTTACTTTTCTAGCAATATTAGCTTTTATAACTATGTTCTGTTACTATTTTGAGTCTCTATGCAAGGGTTATAAATGTTAATAAGGCAAAATTAAATATTTAATTAAGAGAAACACATAGGTACCAAATTAAAAATTCTAAAAAGTATAGATACCTCTAAAATAGTTTTTTCTTTTCTATATTAACAATTTTTTTTGTAACAACTAGAAATTTGGATTAGCATATTTGATTAGATTTAAAATTCTAATAGATTACATTATCTACTATAGTTCAAAATTTATTTCTCCATTTAAGCATCCAATTGACATATTATTTAATTATGATGCTCCATATTTAGTGCATTATATTCAAGTCTCAATTAAGATATTATTCAAATTTAAAATTAATTATTAATTTCTTCATTTGAGCCTCAAATTAAAATTTTATTTATTTATAATGTTTCCCATTTAATTCAATATATTTAAATTTCAATCAATATGTTATTCAAATCTCAATAATTGAATATATCAGGTCTAATAATATTATATCCGACTTATTTTCAAATAAATTAAGCATTATAAGTTTTCAAGGATATAATTGATTGATGATTGATTGACTAAAGAAAACGCGTAATGGATGTTGACTAGACACATTTTGCTAACAGAGAACGTGTAAAGTCTATCCTCACACATCATGAAACGCTTCAGCCCTACATTAGAAGTCAAAACTAAAGCACTTTTTATTTCTTTGAAAAAAAATCTATGTTTCATGCATGCAAGAAGCTACTGTATTTTTTATTTTTTAAAAAAATTAGTTAAAAGTAATATATATTAAGGGAAAAGATATGATAATAAAGACTCTTTTAAAGTAATTAATTAAATTTAGTCGTATCCCATATATTTTAACTTTCTTCTTTTGTAAGAGAGTGATGCGTGGGGGTTAAGTCTCAGAGCATTGCTGTGCCTTTAAGCTATAAAAGATACCAATTACCTAACAAGACAGGAAACAATTGGTGAGATTCACGTGGCAAAGCAAAGCGTGTTGCTTCACGAATGGCCTTGTAGTTTAATCACATGAATATTTTTTCTGTAAATGAGAGATCGGGTTCGATCCTGCTTGTGATGGTGGTAATTTAATTAATATTTGGCCCTCTAATTACGAAAAAAGTGTTGTTTCATGCAATTATCATAAATATATTCTCACAAAATTAATTAATGCCAATATATTCAAACATAACTTTTGTGTAGAGATAATTCAATATGATTTTATTATATTATAGTTTTATTGGTTTGAATTTACTTATCATATTTGTTGTGATTTTATTATTGATTGTGGATTTTATTTCATGTATTTTATACTATTGATTATGATTTTCTGTTATTGTTTTGTATCAAAAAGTTAATGACATTTACTCTGCAATTAATCATACAGTGACAACCTTTTATTTAAGAGATGTGAGTTTATATAAAACAAAAATAAGAACCCCCATGAATAAATACAAAACATAAGAACATAATAATCCACCGTAATCAAATGATTACTACTTTATTGTGATACGAAAAATGTTAAAATAGGAAACTAAATGGCAATGAATACAATATAGATGTCGGTGACTCAAATTTTATTTATTTATTTTGTTATTTTTTGTTTTGAAAGAAGATTGAATATAAGAAGAAAATAATCTTTTAATTAATTATATTTGTAAACAAACAAACAAGGATTTAAATTAAAAATTTTAAAGTTTACATACACTTTGTTTTAGACTAGTTAAGATTACAATGATTCAGCTTATATCTCAACCAATTCGCACCAATATCTGACCAACAAGAACAAATATTGCACCTAATCTTAACTACACACTGCTATATGCTCTCCTTTCTTTTCTATCTTACATCTTCTCCAGATGTTAATATTCCTTTCTTGAGATCAGGAAAAAAAAAAGATTTTTTTTATGTCAAGCGTAGAAGTAAAATGCACATGAAGTTTCCACGAATCAACCAAGAAGGTCAAGGTTAATTACTGGCTGTTTGTATATATAAGTACCTGTGGGCGTGTGTGTCACACACACACACACAGAGGTATATAAGAGTCTTCTGCTTCTGCCGCAGTATAAATCCATTGTTTGCAAAACAGGTGAAGTTCGAATTCTGCAGATCCCTTGATTCCTACGGGTGATAACTTGTTTTATGTAGTATTTTTATTCCTCGTGTTTTCTCCTTCTTCCTCCTTAACTGTACTGTCCCTAAGATTTATGTTTTTTTTTTTTAAATTAGAGAGGCATACGGTACGCTATATACGCTAATAATACGAGGTTTCAAGTGAGATCGAACCTATGATATATTGACATTTCGCTTGTAGAAAATATTGATGCTATTAGCCTACAAGATTAGTGGTAGGATTTATTGGATTTTATCGAATATCCACCCTAGTGACTTAGGCCGAATAAGCATAAACTCATTTTGAATAAGTGGTGTTTATTTTACATATAAGCATGACATGACATACTCCTATTATTATTTAAAATAACAAAAAGAACCGTTATATATATTTTAATTTTTGAGTTGAGGGAGTTGGCATAACTTCCAGAGGCAGAAGTAGCTAGTTTCATTTAGTTGGTTATGCATTCCTAAAACTTACTTCTTAATTCCATAGAAACTCGCTCTTCTCTTTCTCTCTGGTGTTTCTTGCTGTGTATATAACATAAACAAAATCTGGATTGCTTTGTTGGATTCGAAGGTATGTTTATATTTTTCTTCCATATCAATATTCTAAGACCACCCCCACCACCAAGTTAAAATCTGTCTTCCCCACTCATCTCTTTCAGCCAAAAGATCGATATATAAACATAAAATATCACTTGTCCTTCTTCCTCTTTCATCATATATAGCATGAGAATCACAATTCCAAGATGGTTGAAGAAGAAGTTAGATTATTCATTATTATTGTGTTTATTGGGAAGAAGGAGAGTGATTAAACATATTATCTGATATGCGTTTGAAATCCTTGGTGTTTCAGAAGTTACAATATATTCTGGCGATCGGGAAACTTCGTCTCAACTCTGAACTCTGAAGCATATAATAAAAATATCTCTCTGTTCAGCAACTTTTCTGAACACAGGTGCGTCATCACTAATAATTGAGTCTTTCTTTCGTCATTAATTTATTTTCCATGCTTTTTCAGTTGCTTAATTAGATGAATGTCATTAGGACCAAAGTTTGGTACAACTAACGCAATAATGTAAAGAAAAGAGAGCAAGCAAAAACTTAAAAGGAAAAAAGAAGAAAGGAGCAAACGCTTCTCCAAGAAAGTAAACAAAAATTAAACATGACAATGAGCTTCTCCCCTCATTTAGGAAGCTTTTTTCGTACACACCCAACATGACTTTATCTATGGTGTTAACATCTAACCCGAGTTGTTGGCCAGTCAATCCGATGAATCAATTCCCTACCTAGTTGGCCTCTGCATTTATATATTGAGGATTTTTCTTCTCTCTCTTTGTTACGCATGATATCATTGTGAGTTTTTTTTAAAAAAATTAGTAGTTCATCATATTTTGTGTTTTAGTCACTCTGTTTTGTTGGATTATATATAATTTATGCATGAATATTTTTCATTTAGTTACCGACTAATATCTTTTTATTTAAATATTACTATTTTCAAAGGCTATATTCGTGTGGGAATATTTTTGCATATTTTAACTAAGACATATTATTTTAATTATGATTAGATTCTCCCGATTTAACTATGACTAAACTACTAATTTTTAAACCACTATCTCTACTGATTTAATAATCAGTCTGGTTTTCGGTATTTTGAATTGTTCCAAGCTAAGTCGACACAGAAAGTCAAGTCCTTCGTAAATTAACCCAATCACGACAAGCAAAATTCCTAGACTTCAATGTATTGCACAAACTTTCTTCACGTATAGTGAACACGGAGTCAACACTGAAAAATGTTGTCAAGTAGGATGGAAACTAGCCTGGTCCAAAACCGAAATTTTCTTCCACCCCACCACCAAAGAATAATTCTACTATGATTTGGACGGTATTTGGAATTAAGAAAAAGCACTGATTTAATCGTTATAGCCCTCAAATGCTTGTTTTGGAAGAATAATCTATTTTGTGAATTACAATTACAAAACTGCGTTTGAAGGATTCTACCGTCATTTTAAGCAAGCCATTAGTCAGTATTAATGGTTGAAAGTTTTGTGTGTATGTGGGTAGATTGTTCAAAAGGGTTGAAAAATGGAAATCCCATTCATGTGTATCGTTTGAGAAAGCAACCATAGAGAAACATGTCAAAAGTATGAGTTTACAAATGGGATCGGATCTTGACATTCCGATGGAGAGCTTTCATTTCATATTGCTTGGTCATGAAACTATTAGTTTAGCCGTTAGAGTCGTGTTATATTAGATTAGGGTTGCACAACCAATAGATCGGAATAGACCAAAACCCAATCTAAAGTCTGGTCTGATTTTTGGTAGAGCTGGGAATGATAGTCTATGTCTGGCTTAGTTCAGCGGTGATCCAAGGTTGGGTTAGACTGGACTTGGTCCACTAGATTGGTGGACTGTTCCAGACAATCCAAGTTTTCAATTTTCTTTTTTTTTTTTTTTTATGGGAAGCAAGATTTCAACATGATAAATACAATTTAAGATAATTAAAAATATCTATAATCATATAAAACTCATCCTAAAATATTAAGACTTCATCATAAATATATAAAAATCTCAAAAAACATTTTAAAAAATTAAAGGTAACATCTAAATTACAAATTATTGAAAAATAAAAAATTTACCTAGATCAGACCGGACCAGTCTAGGTTGTCTAATATCACTTGGTCTGAAAGCCAATCTAACCCAACCAACTAGTTTGGTTCAATCTAGTCTAATTTCATTATATAGTTTATTTGGATTGGACTAAACAGAACCGGACCACTTTGGGTTGGACCGGACCGGACCACTGAGTTTTTGCACACCCCTATATTAGATGAAGTCTCTTCCTTTGAATTATTTATTAAATTAACATAAAAAAAATTAAATAACATATTTGAAATTTTTTAGAAAAATTATATAATTTCCCTTAACTTAGTTTATCCTTAATTTTTAACGTCTGTTTTGGCCATAATGTAATATTATTTTAATTCATGTTTTGCGTAAAATTATCTATAAATATTTATATATATTATTAATAAGATGATATACGAATAATTGCATCAAAAGAAAATTCCATATGTCTATGAGAAGAATTAATTTTTTAGAATTAGTCTTATTATTATTATTATTATTGTTATTATTATTAATCTATAATTACGGGCTCTAAAATTTTCCTCGGGTTTGATTTGTTGGGTCTCTATCAGCTCGGAGGTACTCATAATGAAACAATGTGAACAAATCCCACAAGATGGGATTAATGTGGACCCCATCTAATAAATTATGTTGCACAACGTCAATGCAGTGTAGAAATCAAATTAGAACACTGAAACTCTGTGGATACAAAATTTGTAGTGTAAAAATTTATCAAGTTCTTTTTATTAATAAAATCTGAAATAGGGAATTATTTTTTTTGAAAATTTTTTTCTTTAAATTATGAAATTCAATTTTCATGTTAGCTGGTGACATCTTCATTATAGATTTCCCACTTTGTCCCCCACCGCGCAGTGTCCAATACCCTATGAACATGAAAATATAATGCAGAAGAAGGGCTAGCTGCATGAAAACGACATATTCCTGAATCGACAGCAATACTACAGCCAGATGCCTAATTACATGCCCTCACACGTATATACCTGTGAGGGCATTATTACTATCATTTCCCTAGTTTTTTTCCGGTCAATATTTAACACGCACAACAATATCAGCAACAATAAGTCTTATCTGATTAACGCGTATCAAAACGCGTGAGCGCATGTGCACGGACTATATATATAATAATAATTTTTTATTTTTTGCTTTGGTGTTAAAGATAGTGGTAGGAAATGAAACATGCAGGAAGCATGGGGGAGGGCAGAATTCAGGCCAGAGGCGTGAGTCATGAGGTTGATATGAAGTAGGCGTAGGGCAAGAAATGTTACGTGTGTCATCATTTTGGACGCCTAACCCACCTTATTTTTGAAGCCCCCACGATTCTTCTCCTAACTTCTGGTTTAGTTAGGTGAGGTGTCCTTTTTCTTTTTCTTTTTTCATTGGATCGTTTAGAATAACTTATAGATAATTTTTCAACCCTGACTTATGAAATGAGATAAATACGTGAAATGAGTTTTGTCTTAACTTATATGAAATGTGTTTATGAGTTTTTTTAAATGCCATCCCAAACAGGTCCAATATTATTGACGCCAAATAAATCCCCTCTTCCACATCTACTCCCCACCTTGTTAGTTGATAAGTTTCTTCATTTTCTATACTTAAATCATGTAATTGATATCATGTCACATATAATGTTACTGGGTCTAACTAAAAACAACAAAAATAGGAATAAGAATAAAAAGTAATTAAATTTTAAGATAGATTCAATAAAATTTAAAATTCTTTAATTTGACGAAACATATTAGAATTTATAATTAGAATTAGAGAAATGTATTTGAATAAGCAAAGCAGAGACAGAGAAGGAGTGATAGGTCATTTAAAACCTTACCATTCTTCTGGCACTCATAGAGCAACATTAATTATAGATGTTTGGACATAATTTTTTGGAAAAATGATTAAAAAAACTACTTCCTGAATTTGAAAATGACTTTTATTGACATGTCAAAATCATTATAAAAATAGTCAATATGACTTATTTATCTTTTCAAAATTTAAGAGGTATGTTTTTGTATTTTTTCCATGTTCTTTTCTATGACAGTGCCCTATAATGACTTTTTTTTATTTTGGGGTCTTCGTCATGTAGTGTTGCCCTCTTGATACTTGACATGCGTGATGAGTATCTATTATCACTATTTGATGATCCCACTTCATTTTTGTGATGGTAATATATTTTCTTGTTGAATTGCAATTATAAATGAAAATATTTTATTATCAGTGAGTAGTTAATGAAATAATTTAATTTATCATTTTCGGTCATTACAATGAACCGAGGAGCCAGATTCAGTTGGCCAGCACTTTCTTGGAAATTTCCTTCCTGTCTTTGTTCATCTGTTGCCTCAAACTTTGGGCTTGGACGCGTTTCCATGCTTCCTGAATTAAAAAGGCATATAAAAACTAACAAAAATAAGCATAACTCATAATATCATAAGTTTCAATCTTAGTAGTAATATAAAAATTATGTTGATACATAAATATTTTTATGAGTTATTTCTGAATCTAAAAGCATGAGTTGGCCGTAGTGAATCCTCGAACCTAATTCACCTAAATTTCTATTATTAAAAAAAGGGCAAATAATGATTTCTGGTGGCCAGCACAATAATTTTATAACTTTATTCGAACTTTGGTGGCAAACAATACTTTATTCGGATAATCTTGAAAATATTTCAAAAATTATGCTTAAATTTTATTCTTGATTCTATAGCTTTATCACTGAGGCATGAAATGAAACCCACCCCACCTCTTCCACTCCCACCGTTTCCGGCCCGCTTTATCCAGTAATTTATTATTCGTATATTGAAAGTTTTATGTTGTACTGGGGGAGGGTGCGTCCACCCAAGGCCAAAAGCCCCATTTCTTCCTCGATTTCATTTAACAATGTTGCACCGCTCCCTTGTCGCCACCGACCTATAATGCACACACCCACATACATATGTACTTATATACATATACACACACACACACACGCTTTTTCTCCATTGTGCTTCCCTAAGTTTGTGACAGCGAATTACTGTGAGGGAGGATTATAATAAGATACTAAAAAAATTAATTACAAAACAAATCCTGTTAATTTTTACTCAGAAATTGGCAGCTGTGCAGGTTAGTAGTGACACTTTTTAATAAATTTTTTTATTTGGGATTTCATTATAATTCTCCTTTATTATTTTTCTTAATAAATAGGTTTTATTTGTCATCATTATTGAAATTATTTATGAACACATTTTACGTAAATCAAAATGAAACTCTTTTTATATACTTATATCATATTCTGTAAATTATGATTGAAAACCTATTTATAAGCTATTTCAAACAAGTCATAAAATGATTTATAAACAATTTTTTAATCATAATTTATGAAATATAAAATAGATATGTGAAATGAATTTTAGTTCGAATTATATAAACAGTTTTATTTTTATAAAATTTATTTTGATTCTTAATTTTATAAAATATCTTTTCATGGTTGATGAAAATACTAACATTAGAATTTTAGATGTAAATAAAACAATTTCAACGTCTTCTGAAGTGCAGACATACAACTTCTGTGAGAACAGGGAAAAACGGCTCTGTATGATTTCCTTTAGATCAATCTGGTTCATTTCACACCATGGGTGAGAATAGTTCAGGTACGTCTGATATGAACTCATGGCCTTCCTGGTCCAATCTTCGCCGCCATTTTTAACCACTGTCAGCTTTTTGATCTTCTGGATTTTCTAATAGTATGCTACCATATACATACTTATATTCAGAAGATAATCATAAAGAAATAGAATATACACTCTATAATTCTTTTGTATTCACAAAATCCGTACCGTTTGATCCTTCCAGTTCACTTCTCCATTGAATGTCTCCCATCTCGCCTTTTCCAACTAAAAGGTGTTTGGATGTCAAACCATAGTTTAAAAAGCATTTTTTCAGTACACAAAATAGATACGTGGAGGAGCTAGATCAATTCTTTATTAGCTCTCTCTCAGATCGTCACTTTTGCTTGTTCTCTGTTGTTGAGGCGGGCACGTTGACAGACACTTGGATGAGAAAATAAAGCTGAATGACAGCGAAATCAAGTTAAGCAATCCACGTTCGACACTTCTTTCTTTGATTTGGTTACGCAAAGGCACTGGAACGGCAACATGTATAACTCTAATATGAAGCAACTTCTCTTTCAAGTTCGAGACTCTGAATCTTGTTGGGACAGATCTCACAGTTTGGAAACGCGCTTGCACAGATGCATAGTTTATATCGGCGTTTGGAGAATCGATCTGATTAGTATTAGTATTTTCTGGGAAAGTGGATAAAGTAAAAGAGATAAAACGAAAGAGAATAAGGGAATAGAACGGGAATATATTCTTACTCTGTATATGAGTGATGAGTAAACAATAAATTTTTCCAAAAGAATAGTTAAAGCAGGGTCGTGGTGTTGAATTTCCTGGCACATGGTGCATTTTCTTCTCGTGAACGTTTTCGCTTTCTGTGGAGATAATAAATGATGTGAACTGAAATAGAGAGAGGTTTCAGGTTCCTGCTGTAACGCCTCCTGATTGAGGAAGAAGACGAAGAGGAAGGAGGAGGAAGAGAAGCCATCAGTGTCTGAAAAGTAGAAAGACTTTGACTGGTGACTCGGTGAGTCGTGTTTCGTGAAGTCCTCCACTATCGGGTTTCTTTGGTAATTTCACCATCTCTCCGGCGGTGGACGGTGAATTTTGCATTTATTTTATTATTTTTTTATTACTATTTTTCTTGGTTCAAAGTGGTTTTCACTTTGACATGTTGATTTCCGCGTTTGGGTGTTTCGGGTAAGAAAAAAAATGATTTCAGAAATACTTTTACGAAAATAAATATACAGAAAAATTTATCTCGATTTGCTAAAAAATATTTTGGAGAACTGGTTACCAACAGCCCTCTGTTTGAAAATTTAGATATAGAATTATAGCCTTGGCGTAGTTCCTCAGGGAGGATCTGTGAATGAGTGTGAGTGAAGTGAAGAGGTGTTAGATATTGACGGTGCCATCTCTCCTGCGACAGTTTTCGACAAATGAGTTACTCGAAGGATTCACCTCGCCGTCCGAACGACGTAGAGGCGGGGAATAGTCGCTCCGGCGACTCTGAGAACGGGGAGTGCTCGTACGATCCATTTGATATTTCCAGTACAAAAAATGCTTCCATTGAACGGCTCAGGCGGTGGAGGGTATGTCGTCTGAACTCAATCGCTCAGATTATTTATATATTTATTTATTTTGTTTATTTTCAATTTTCATGTGAGTATACTTTAGTTTAATGTTGATTGCCTACTGCTTTAGTCACCGTTTTGGGTTAACTTTCTGCTTCTGTCGGAAAGAGTGAACCAGAAGTATTTAATCCGGTTTACGGTCAATTTAGGATATTAGCATGTGTCTTCTGCTTGCGTGCCAACAGCACTTTGTTGTTCTAGGGTTCTGGAGCACTGTAAAAGAATTAAATAAAGGGAAAGTACTTTGGATGAATTGTATGGACAATGTATTTCGTAGAGAAATTTTGGAAGCAAAGGAGTTTAAATTGCAAAAAGAATATTATAGTTTACGTTTTACGGATTAGATTTTCTGTTACAACTGATTATACCAGCTAAAAGATGAATGGGTGGCTGGGTTTCGTCTGTCTGCTTGCTGGAAAGTTATGAACCGACGAACTTTGATTTGACCATTGAGTGGGACAGAAAGTAGGAAAATGCAGATTTTAGGTGAAGAGGATAGCTGTTGTTTAGGGTTGGAGAACGGAGACTTGGAAGTTATGGATATAAACGGTATTAGGCTTTCCCTTGCACAGATTCTTATGAGCTGAAGTCTCTTCTCTATATATCTAAAAGTCGAGCGAACAGAAGACGTTTTCCTGTGTTATTACTGTGCGGCAGAACAGGGGTAAATATATAACTCGGCCGTTGCATGTGCTTAGCCGAGGAGTAAAATAATATTAGCCTTAATCCCAACAAAATAAATGTATTCAATAAAATAACAAAATAGATAGATAAGTGGAGATAAATGCATCTTTTTGGGCTATCCTACCTCTCAGAAGGGGTACAAATGCTAACCCATCCCCCCACCCCTCAAAAATTTTTTGTCACCATGGATGTTACTTTTGAAGAGAATCAAGAGTACTACATGAAAACTCCCATTCAGGGGGAGATTATTAAAGAATGGGAGTTCCTTACAGCTGAAATTAGTACATGACTAAAGGAAAGAAGGCAGTGGGTTGCAAATTAAGTGTTCACAATCAAATACAATGCGGATGGGTTAGTTAACAAATTCAAGGCCTGGTTAGCAGCTAAAGGATATTCTCAGCCTCGAAGGATTGACTATTAGGAGACTTCTGCTCTAGTAGCAAAGCTGAATACTACATGGATTCTATTATCTTTGGCAGCTGTTCTTGATACCAATTAGGTGTGAAGAATGCCATCCTGAATGCAGATATTGAAGAAGTACATACGAGCATCCCTGAAGGAATTGCAGAGTTTGGTTACACAGGTATGGCATGCAAACTGTACAAATCTCTTTATGCGTTGAAATAGTTGTTAAGAGCCTGGTTTGAGAGGTTTACCAGAGTTGTGAAGAGCTCAGGTTACACACAAAGCCAAGCTGATCATATAATGTTTGTAAAGCAATTGGGAAGTAACGTTTCAATCCTAATTGTATATGTTGACTACATAGTGGTCACTAGAAATGACATCGAGGAGATAAGCAAACTCAAGCAAGCACGGTTACAACATTTGAAGTTAAGGATCTTGGCAGCTTAAGGTACTTCTTGGGTATGGAGATTGCTAGACCAAAGAAGGGGATCTCAGTCTCAAGGAAAATGCATCCTTGATAGGAAGGATGGAGTTCTAGTGGATGCTGAGAGATACAAAAAGCTGGTTAGGAAACTCATCTATTTATACCATACTAGACTTGACATCAGCTACGCTATAGGATTGGTAAGTTAATTCTCTTCATAACCATAGGAGCAGCACATGGAAGCCGTATACACCATCCTAAGGTATTTGAAAATGACACCTGGGAGAGGAATCTTTACAAAAGGAGGCTCTAGCTAGCAGACAGAAGATTGATTGGAGGCTATTTCACCTTTGTGTGGGGCAACCTAGTCACATGGAGAAGAAACAGACTATTGTGTCAAGTAGTGTAAAAGCTGAATTCAGAGCTCTAGCACATGGTGTATATGAAGGAGTGTGGATATAATCGAAGTGCTAAAGGAACTGAAAGTCATTATAAAGTCTCCTACAAAGAGGTGATGTGATGACATGGGAGCTATATAAATGGTCCAGAACCTGAGTCATCATGATAGAACCAAGAATGTAATATCGACAGACATTTCATAAAAGAGAAAATATAGTCGAAGGAGATTGACCTAGCCTACATACGGTCTCATTCCCAAGTTGCAGATGTTCTTGCTAAGCCACTTGATTGGAACAAGTTCAAGTATTTCAGGAGCGAGCTGGCCATGTCAGATAGCTTGAGGTGGAGTGTTAGATATACGTCCTAGTGGGCCTTTTGTGCTAAAACCCTAGGTTGATTTCTTGGTTTAGTAGGTTGATTCCTAGGTTTAGTGTCTGCTGGCAGCTGCAGTATCCAATCCCTTATTTTGTGCTATTTTATTCTGTTATATTGATTCCCTGATTTCCAGTGTAAGATCTCGCTCATCTCTCTTCTTAATGTCTTGGCACATCTCTCTAATTATTGAGGGTTCCTCTATCTATTTATACTGCTGTGATGTTTGAATAAATACAAGCTTTTTCATTTCTTCAATGCCCAATGCTTTGTAAAAAGAAACTTAGTGGTGAGTAGCCAGTACTTGCTACTGCAAAAAAGCTTTTCTCTTATGCCCTGCTTCAGACTAACAATCATAGAATTTACTTGATTATGAAGTCGTCATTGACTGTTTCAAAATATTTGTGTTGTCTGGGTTATTAGGAGTAACTATAAGATCAATGACTATTTACATATGATGTTTTGCTTTGCTTTGTTAAGACATTATTTATTTGGATTCATCTTTGGAAAGAAAATATTTTTCAACGACTAAACAGTTTGTTTATTTTATTTTATTTTATCTGTCAGCAAGCTGCGCTTGTGCTCAATGCTTCTCGTCGATTCCGTTATACCCTGGACCTGAAAAAAGAAGAGGAGAAGCAACAAACACTGAGGAAGATTAGGGCGCATGCTCAAGCCATTAGGGTATGGTTACTGTGACTGAACTTTCTTGATTATTGCTTGCGACTTGTATGCAGCATACTGATTATTCATTTTGTCCCACTAGGCTGCATATCTTTTCAAAAAAGCTGCTGTGCCACCTGTGAATGGTGAGTTAATTTTTCTCGCTATGTTTTGTTCATATTAGTTTTTCCCCCCCTTAAATTATGATTAAGTGTGTTTTTCTCAAATTTGAGAAGTGCCTTTATTGCCGCCCATGAGTCCGGCACATGAAGTTAGATAGGCCGGCTAGGCTATTTTTCGGCAGTTGGTGAATAAGATTAGCAACATGGTTGACTGTTGGTTATTGATGATTAAATGAGGTCCCAATTAATTTGTAGTTTAGGATCAACCTAGGTCATTACTTTCATACAATGCTCAAGAAAATTAGAAAATATGGAAACCATGTAACTCTGAAAAGTACCAGGTGCATTATATAAGTCAAACGGCATGCATCTATATGCAAAGGTTCCAAATGAACATGTGAATGTGGTCTTATCTTAATCCTCAGGTGTGCTAGAAACTTGAAAATATATAGAAAAACCATCTAAAAAGCAATAATGGGATCTACCAGCCAGTCTTTCAAGCATTTGATTTATAAAGAGAAGGGGGTAATGATCTTTTCTGGTTACAGAATTCAACTTTCTATAATCAATACATACCCACCAATTATTCTAGATTCTAGTTGGAACAAGCTCACCTTCATCAATACGAATAATAGTAATACCAGTCTTTTTTGGAACTACCTAAACTGGATTAACCCACTGGCTATCAGAAATAGGATAGATTATACTTGAGAAAGGAGTTTAGAAACCTCTTTCTTTATCACATCAAGAATTAATAGGTTGAGTCGTCTTTGTGACTGACGTATAGCTTTAGCATTATCCTCTAACAAAATTCAGTGCATGCACACATTAGAGCTAATCCTAAGAATATTTGCAAGAGTCTATCCAATGGCTTTCATCCTTCTCTTCAGTATTTCCAAGAGGCGAATTTCTTCATCAATAGCTATGTTGCTAGCTATAATTACTGGTAGTGTCTCATCTTTTCCAAATAGGCATATTTCAGCGAATCAGAAAGCGGCTTTAGCTCTAAAGAAGGAGCTTGCTCAGTTAAGGGCAAGAGCGGCTTTAAATCAATGTTAATCAAGTTAGAAACTTGCATTGAAGACTCAGAAGTAAAAGAGTAGACTTTTCCAACTTGGGAATCATTAGTAGAAACAGTAATAGCAGAAGAATCAGGTAAGAGGTCATAATTCACAAAAGAAGTGCCGTCAGTAGCACTCATCTCAGAAGCAACATTAGGATCAAAATCAAAGATCTTTATATCAAGGACATGATCAACATTAACTAACAGCTCAGAATCAAGTAATGAAGATGAATCATTTGCATTTATAGAATCAATCACATTAAGTAACTGAGAAAGTTCGTGTGAATCAACAGAAGTACTAGACGAGGAATCACTAAAAGTACCAAGGCTATGCATAGGTATAGAAAAATCATTACTAGAATGCCTAACAATCTCAATGAAATAAGTGAAAACATCAACATCAGCAGCATCAATACCAGTACATGTATCACAACTACCAATTTCAGAACATGAACAGGAGATAGAATCATCTAAGCCAACAATATCACATGATCTGATCATCATACTATCTCTAAAATCTATGACAGCATCATTAGTAATGATATCGATAAAACTAACATCAATCTTAGCGTAGCTATTAGGTGGATGTCTTATAGAGTTAAGCCTATCAAATTTAATGATTTTAGCAGCAAATTTCATTGTAAGAGTACCAGCATGCATATCTATCATAGTCCTAGCAGTCTTAGGAAAAGACCTACCTAAAATCAAAGATGAATGCTTTTTTTGTCTAAATCTAGCATCATCCCTATCAAGAACATAGAAGTCTGCAGTAAATGAGATCTTTTACCTTGACCAAGACATCTTCCAAGACTCCTTCTAGAACTACACAGTATCTGTCAGCAAGGGAAGCAAATAGATTTGTAGGTTTAAGATCCACACCTTGAAGTTGAGCAAAAACTTATTTCGACATGATATTGATAGCCGCCTCTAGATCTGCTAAAGCATGTGAAAACTCAATGTCACCAATGGTGCAAGATATGAAAAAGCTACCAGGATCCTTGCACTTCACTGGCATTAGCATTTGATAAAGAGAAGAGACAATAGCTCCCAAGTCAACTTTACCATCATGCTTGAGCCTTCTCTTAGTGGTACACAACTCCTTCAAAAACTTTGCATGCTTAGGCACTTGTGCAACTAGATTAACTAATGGAACATTAATCACCACCTTTTTGAAGATATCATAAACCTCTTTGAACATCTCAGCTTCTTTCTTTCTCCTTTCAGCCCTAACTACCTCTGTAGGAAAAGGTAAGACTTGCTCATTCACTTTCTTTCCTTCCTCACCCTTTTTTGGTTTTCTTGCAATGCCACTTGTGGTTTTGATACAATAGACTTATCATGCGATCTGGAGGGGGGGGAATTTTTAATGATGGCTTCCTCATCTTTTGAAGCATAGGTAGTGACAGGTTTTGCGGAGGTAATTGAATTTCCACTTTTGAGAGATATGGCATTAACTCTACCAATGTTAGGATTCTGCTGGGTGCCAACATTAGGGTTAACTACTACCTGAGATGGCAGCTTCCCTGAACCTTGACTTTGCATGTTACTAAGTGCATTAGATAACGGCCCAATTTGAGTTTGAAAATTATGAATTTCTTGGCTATGTTGCAAATCTTTTTGTTCAAACTTATCTATTTGGAGTTTTATCATGCCTTCTAACTTCAAAACTTTCATCTTGATTTGGCATAGTTTGCCTAACTTGTTGGAACATTTTACCACTGAAGAGTTTACACTTTGATTGAACTGTGGTTGTTGAGGCTGGCCATTTCCATATCTGAGATTTGGATGTCATGCCATCCAGGATTGTATGTATTTGAGCAAGGATCATATTTCTGGCCACCTTATGTCATAGGCTTAGTGTGATATATTGCATTATAAGAGTCAACTTTATCATTTAGGTAAAGGCAAGAGTCAGTGGTGCGAGTAGTTAGAGAGTAAATAGAGCAAAGTGACCCAATTAGAGTTGTAGAGTCAGCTTATGGGATGAAAGGGGAAGAAGATCCCATAGAAGTAGCCATATTTTGGGAGTTCTTCATTTGAAACACAACCATTTTCTTCATAGCAGATGCTAACTTATCGATTTTGCTCTCAAGGTGAGACTTAGAATAAGATAATGCAATTCAACTTCATTTACTCTAGCTTGCTGCCAGTACCCAAACTATTGGGTATTTTCAGCTTTCTTTTCAATTAATCTCCACGCAGCTTCAACAGTCAAGTCAAGAAGAGCTCATCTAGCTGCACAATCTAGTAAATCTCTCTCAAGAGGCAAAAGCCCTTCATAAAAGTATTGAATCAGTAATGCATTTGAAATTTGGTCGTGAGGACAACTAGATAACAATGCCTTAAAGCTCTCATAATACTCATATAAGGATTCCCCAAACATTTGTCGGTAACCACAAATATCCTTCTTGATGGAGGAAGTACGAGATGCTGGGAAATACTTTTCCAGAAACAACTTTCCAACTAATTCTTTAATAGTCCTGGCAGGACTAGTGATGCTGCTCTCAGAATTAGAAGAGTCAGAAGAATTAGAGGAATTAGCAGTTAACTTAACAGAAGAATCACTTCCTACAAGATTTATAACTTGAGCTCTCTTTCTTTGATGAATGTCCTCTCAAACTTAGGATCAAATTCAAACAATTTTTTATTAGAAGATCTAGTCATGCACTGGGCAACTATTAAAAATCAAAGTGAAATGAAAAGAAAAATGCCTAAAAAAAAAAACAAACAAATTAAGTCAAAACACAAAGTGAAATGAAAAGAAAAATGCATAAAAAAAAACCAAACAAATTAAGTCAAAACACCATTGAAGCTGGGAAAGAGATAGCAAGAGACACTAATGGACAAATTCAAAGCTTCAAAATAGTAAAGGGAAGCTCATAAAAATTTAGGAAAAATAAGAAGAAAAACCTGGAGAATTAAAAAAATCAAGAGAAAATAAAAAAAATAAAAGAAAATTAGATAACTCAATGAAAACGGTTGAATTTGGCCAAAATAGCTATAGCCTACACCTGATACCTAAAGGTATCAAAAATGATTAGCACGCCCAAAAACATTAAGAACCTAAATCTTACAGAAATCTGGACAGTGAAAAGTTAACTTCCAGAGTAGGATGAATTAGCAAAATCAACTGAAAAGCAAAAATGCAATTAATAAAAAGCAAAGAAAATGCATAGAAAAATGTAAGGGAAGAAAGAAAAAAATTATGCAGATAAAACATGCAAGGTCACCTAGAACTTAAACCTAAAGTCTAATCATTACTCCCCGGCAACGGCGCAAAAATTGATGATGCTTATGTTGTTGAAGCACTCAATTAATTTATAGTTTAGAATCAACCTAGGTCATTACTTCTAAGGAGCAAGTTATGGGTTTCTCTTGCTAAAAATTTAGGTGATGAAGAATGTAATAAAATGGATCTAAACTAAAATGTAAAGTTCTAATTCTGAATGCAAGATGCAAATGTTCTAAAATTTATATAAAAATTAAATTAAACTAAATGAATGCAAATGCAATTTTTGGGGATTTTTTTGTAGAAGGAAAAATTAAAATGATAAGTTAAAAAAAAACAACTAGAGAGCAACGAAAATTAACAAGTAAAAAGTGAGAAGTTTCTCTTTAGGTATGGTAGAGGAAACAACTTAGGATTTGTATGAATTTAGCCTTCATAATCTAAATCAATTGGTTAAGACTTGAGGGAAGTGATGAGAGAATGGAATTAATGAGTGTAATTACCTACTTGAAACATAGGGAACCCTCAATTTTAAAAAAAAAAAAACCTTAAACCATTGAAAAACTTATAACAGTGTAAGGTTGGTTAATTAAACTCATTAAAATCAATGACAAATAGTTTAAATTAATTCTGAAAATTATGTTTAAAATTATCTAATATAGCAATTAGATAATTTACCAACTCAATTAAACAATCAAGAGGTAAAAGAATCCAAATTTGCAATTCAAACTACATTGATAATTAAATTCATAATGAAAACTCAATTATAAATTCAATTAGCAATGAAAAGGTTCACAAACATAAAATCCAGCAAAATCTTAGTACAAATATAATCCAAGTATCAATCCAATCTAAAAATGAAGATGACAATTTAAAACTAAATTGTTTTACAAAAATATAACTCAAAATTATTTAAAACTATATAATCTCTAGTCCTTGAATTAAAAAGATAAATGAAATATCACTTCTTTGTGGTCTTCAAATGCTAGTCCAAGGCTCAAACCTCCTCCATGCTTCTCCGAAGTTGGCTCCCTAGCAAGCTTAAGCTGCCATCAAATTGCCTCCTCCTCCAAAGTTGTTAGATGTCATGACCATGAATTGATGGAAGGTGATGATGATGTGAAGATAGGAATTGAGTCGCCCCTAGGGAAGAGATGAATCTGAGAGGAAATGGTTATTCAATTCTTGATGGGCTGCATGACGTGTGAAGGAGGGAAGTACGTGGGAGCTGCGCAAGAATGGAGAAGTTGAATAATTCCTTTGACAAAGAGGGGTGAGCGTTCACGTGAATGGAGAAAGAAGTGATACTAGGCATCCATTGACTATGGAATGAGGGGAATATTTTAATGGGGAAAAAGAAAATTTTTGTGGATCCAAAGTTCAAACCCATTAGTAATTGATTGACTCACTTGATATTAGCCATTGGATGGATTGTGCTTGAATTGCAAGAAATAATTTTGCATCGTTATATTTTCTATATGTTCTTCCTTGACTTACAAGAATTTAGATGCATCCATTAATGTAGATTATATTCAAATATAAGATAATCTATATCAAAAATATTAGGTATGCACAAAAATAAGGCAAGAAATTGCAAAACTTTCTAGAAATAAGTCTTTCTAAAAATATGAAACTTGTTTCCAAAGAAATAGGAAATATTAATTCCAAGTCAAAAATGAGAAATCACAAAATATTTAGACTTTAAATTCGAAATCTCAATTTTTATGAAAAATCTAAAAATCAACCAATTAATCTAATAATGCATAAAAATCTAGTTAAGCTCAAAATTACTATTTAAATCCTAAATTAATATGGGATAAAATGTATAAAAATTGGGCTTTATCAGTTATCAATATTGATCAATATCAATATAAAATATAAATTCTATAGCAAGGCTGCGTTATTTACAAGCGGTGATATACAGCTGATTCTTTAGATTTTGTGCCATACATGAGGGGCCTACTGTGTTATAGACATTTAGTATGATTTTATACTTCAATTTGCATTTAGGATGTCACCCTTTTTTCCTTTGTTCCCCTTATTTCCCTTTCAGTTGAAATATAACATCTGTAGTTGATCATTTACCAAGGGTTTCCATATCAAATTTCATTGTTTATTTTTTAAGTGAAAATGACATTTTATTTTCTAAATTTCAACCATTGCGGAGTTAGTTGTTGATAAAGTGTAATGGCATTGTGTAATCCATGTACCTGACCTCATTTAGTGGGAAAAGACTAGTTGTTGTTGTTGTCCATATCCCCCTTATACTTAATTTTTGGAGTCTTCTCAGCATCTAAATTGTTACGTATCTATTCTGAAATCTTGTTTCGGAGTATAATCAGAAGACTACTATTGGGTGTTTTGAATATCCGATAGATTTTCTCATTTTCTATTTTTGATTGTTGGATGGCCTGGTTGCCTTGATTTATTGTTATGCAATCTTGTTTCTTGCTTTCTTTCTTTTTCTTTTTCTTTGCTTTTTTAAATGATAAGCTATGATACATGGTGTACAAGCCTACAAGGTATTTGTTGCACTCTTGTGTTCATAAGCAGTTTCCATGTTATATTCACTTTCCATTTAGACAAACTTGTTTGACAGGCTTTGTACCTTGTTTATTACTTGTTTCTGGTTTATATATATTTGTATTTTTTCATTTTTGACCCACCTAGTGGTATAAGGCTTTGTTGTTGTTGTTGTTGTATTTTTCCATTTTTGATAATTAGTGCTTTCAAATTTCAGGGATTCCAGCACCACCTCCAGCTGCTTCTGGTGACTTTCCAATTGGGCAAGAGCAGCTTGCTTCAATTTCAAGGGATCATAACAGTGATGTCCTGCAGCAATATGGAGGGGTAGGTTTTCTGTGAAAATTCCAAACCCGGTAAAGGCACTGATTATAGTCAAATATGCTTGTGCTTATTTCGAGCATTTTTATCAGGTTCAAGGGCTTGCACAGTCGTTGAAAACCAATTTAGGGAAGGGAATTCATGGTGATGATGGTGACTTAATGAAGCGGAGGAATGCGTATGGGTCAAACAACTATCCTCGGAAGAAGCCCAGGAGTTTTTTGGTTTGTGTTGCTGCATTTCCATTTCAGTTGTTGACTGCTCTTGCTTGCATACTATCTTTTCATTGGGGGATCTTGTAACGATCTCTGGAGATGTTTGTTTTATTGTTCCTTTCTACAGATGTTTGTGTGGGATGCTTGCAAGGATCTGACCCTGGTTATATTAATGGTTGCGGCGGTGGCTTCATTGGCGCTAGGAATAAAATCTGAGGTGAGATTGGCTGAGATAGTTAGAATGCAATTCTTTGTGCTTATCTTTAGAAAAATGTAGGACATATTGTTATAAAAAAATCACTATGTTTAACAGAGATTACAGACGTGCCTCATCCTTTTGCACAAATATGTATCTGCAGACTTTATGGCTAGTTTTTCTCTGCTTTGTTATAAACTTACTCGTGTCCATAAGTGAAGCAAACGGCTGAGTTTCCATATTTTCATTCTCTGTTGTTGTTTGGCAAATGTACAAGGCAATAAGCCTGCCTTCTAGCTCTTAAGTTTTAACCCTAGAAAATAAAATCTCAAGAGAGATTGTATATCTAATTATCTAATCTTAATCTGCACAGATTTAAATAAGCAGATCAGATAATAAGATATTGTGAATAATAAAAATTAACAATTATTGGGTAATTGAAATTAAAAAAAAAAATTCACATACTTTTCAACAGTAAGCTTTACTATATTCCTTGGGTTCTTGTGCTGTTTTCCTTAGCCTTGCTCAGTCTCTTTTTAATTGTTGATTTTCCTCTTCGTAATCTTTAATTATGTCTTAGGTAATATTAAGAATTAGGCTTTTCCCCTTCATTGTTAATCTTCTATTGTAGGGTATCAAGGAAGGATGGTATGATGGGGGTAGCATTGCATTTGCAGTTATTCTTGTTATTGTGGTTACAGGTGTGTACTTTAATTCTTCTTTCTGGGGTAAATACCATAATGTGTTATACTCTACTTGCACTTTTTCAAATTTTCCTCTGTACTTTTTTTTTGGGTGGAGATTTGCCTATTGACCTGCTTTGTATTCTGCCATGGATGACATCATAACAGTTGTTGTCTTCCCATTTGAGGATTGCCTGACTATTTCTCTTATTCTTTTCTAGCTATAAGTGATTATAAGCAGTCTCTTCAGTTTCGTGATTTAAATGAGGAGAAGAGAAATATACATCTAGAGGTTTGTTTTTGTTTTCGTCTGTTTTTGGGTGACTTTAACCTACTAGTTTATTGCTTTTCCATATTTTTGGCCGTTTTTTAATCTTACATTCAAACTTGGCCGTGAGCAGGTTATAAGAAATGGCAGAAGAGTTGAGATCTCAATCTATGATATTGTTGTTGGTGATGTTATACCTCTGAATATTGGTGACCAGGTTATTTGGCACTCCTTTAATAATTTTAATGGTCTCACTGGTAGATTTTTCCTAATTGTTAGTGTTCTGAACTTCTCCGTCGCAGGTCCCTGCTGATGGAATTATGATCATTGGTCACTCCCTTGCAATTGATGAATCAAGTATGACTGGCGAGAGCAAGATTGTACGTGATTGTTCTCATCTTGTGGGGATTGAGCCTGTTTATTATACATTTTAGTAACTCGTTTTCTTTTCTTAGGTTCACAAGGACTCAAAGGACCCCTTTCTGATGTCTGGATGTAAAGTTGCAGATGGAAGTGGCACCATGCTGGTGAGTGTTGACTCACTTTTTTTTCTTAATATGTTTGTAATCATGCAATATATTTTAGTTACTAATACAAACCTTTTCGAAGGACTGTCTAAATAGTTAGTGACACGATTAGCAGCCTCATTGATTAATAGCAGTCACAGGCAACATTTACTCTTGAGGGCATAAGGACTCTGTAACTAACAGGCAGATTATCTTGTAACCATCCACATATTTAATTCCATGTTGTGTAGAAATATGGTATTTTTAACAGATGTTTATCATTTGAGAGTGATTGTGAGTGCTCGATAGTCTGAAAGGCATTATACTCTTGGTTTGATTTTTAGTTATTCAACTTTGTAAAGGAATGATTAAAGAAAAGAATGTTGCAGAATATGGAAAGAGTTCATAGCGAGTGATGGTTTCTGTCCTTGGTTTACATAATAAAAAACAAATAAATATATTAAATTGATAATATGTCTGTCTTTGTTTTGCTCTGTTAAGAGTCAGACCCAACCTTTTTTGTGGCTTAAGTTTTGTTTGGTTCAATTTTCTTGCCAGGTTACAGGTGTTGGTATTAATACTGAGTGGGGGCTTTTAATGGCTAGTATATCGGAAGACACTGGTGAAGAAACACCCTTGCAGGTTCTCTATCTACATGTGGTCTCTAATGAAGCTTTTCTATATGCATCGTATGGTTACTCATTGAGTATTAAAATAGGTACGCTTAAATGGCGTCGCCACCTTCATTGGTATTGTTGGGCTAACTGTGGCTGCTGTTGTTCTGGTTGTGCTACTGGTCAGGTAATTTGGCCGTTTACCGATGGTGGTATGAATATCTTGTCTTTCAGTAATAGTTTTTATTATCTGAAATGCCTTAACTTGTGAACAGATATTTTACTGGGCATACCGAAAACTCAGATGGGAGCCCTCAGTTTAAGGCGGGCCATACGAAACTTGGTGTTGCTATTAACGGAGCAATTAAGATAGTCACAGTTGCCGTATGTATATTTATTTAAATTGGTTTTTCATATTAACGAGGAATATACAAATGGGGTTCGAAATCGGTTGTATAGTGATATTGACTCATCGCATATGTATCTGTAGGTCACCATTGTAGTGGTTGCAGTGCCTGAAGGGCTTCCTTTAGCAGTCACTTTAACGTAAGTGAGCCAATGTTGGTTAGAATTGTAAATTTCATAAGGTTTCCAGAGTTTACTTCATTTTTCTCATTTTTGGTGATAGTTTTTGTAATTCCATCTTGCATAAAACAATTAATTGGCCTTTTAAATGGTCATACCTTCAATAAAACGCCATGCTTTACTATCCTATATGCTTTTTATGCAGCTTCAGATTTTTCTTTTAGCATTATCTATACAAAAGCAACGAGAATTCTCATTTCACTAAGTATAGTCGGCTATACAGATTGCATGACACCATCTTGTTCTGGCATTATTTATACTGATTAATTTTTGTATGTGCTCTTATTCCAGTGCTATATTATGTGGTTTGTAAACATCATTCTTTTAATATCATTCTGCTAACGTTGTTCTTCTTCAACTATATTATAGACTTGCCTACTCAATGAGAAAAATGATGGCAGATAAAGCTTTGGTATGCCAATTGATGCTTTTATTTGAGTGAATTTATGTGTATCAAATTGATGAAATCATTTTAATGTAGCTGAATGAATAATAGGTGAGGAGGCTTTCTGCCTGTGAGACAATGGGTTCTGCCACAACCATTTGCAGCGATAAGACTGGAACATTGACTTTGAATCAGGTTTGTTGTAATGCGGCCTGTGAACTTCTGATCTATTTTTGTATTCTTTAATGTAACTATTTTTTGGACCCTTGTTATTTCAAGTGTTTTAACTTTGATGTGGCTTCTAGTGTAATAGCTTATGTAAAGTAAGCAGCCTTTTAACTTCTGAAATAATTATGAATGAGGAATGTGGAGATGATTTAATTGCAAGTCAGTACTGTTTAACCTGGGGAATGCTGTTTTTGGAGAAGGGTGTGTCTGCTGGCCTTGGTTATGGAATATGATGGTGTGTCCAGCAGTTTCTAATATTTTCTCTCTGAATTTAATAAAATATCATTTGTTGACAGATGACTGTGACAGAAGCTTACATTGGAGGGAAGAAGACTAATCCTCCTCACAACAAATCCGAGCTCCCTGATAAGTGCCGCTCTTTGCTTGTTGAAGGTGTTGCACAAAATACCAATGGCAGTGTTTATGTACCTGAGGTATACTAAGAGGGATTTTCCCTGTTTCCACAATACTAACATAGGAGCTGAAAGTTTAGCGTTGCAACTACTCTGAACTTTTTGTTCTTTACAGGGTGGTAACAACGTTGAGGTCTCTGGATCACCAACAGAAAAGGCAATTTTGAACTGGGGAATTCAGGTTTGTTTTGAAGCTTTTAGGCTCAAATGTAATTTTGATCTTTGTCTACTTTCATGAGTTCCAATTTGGTTCCCCTAATTTCATGACACTCTAATGTCGTGACAGTCTGTTGTCCTCATACATTTTAGAATACCAATCTTTCCCATTTTTTAACATTTAATGCGAAGTTTTACAGTAGGTTGTCTTCAACATCAAATTTTAGTCTGAGTTAAGGGCATCACTTAAATGAATAATGTTGAAGTCAGAAAATTGTGAGTTTCATATTAAATTTTTATGGTGGATTATAAGACAGAGGAGCAAGACTGCGTCATTTTAAAATATAGGATAAGCATATTGTCAAATTTTAAACAAGGTGAATCAAATTGAAACTTCTATGAAACCAGAGGGATCTAACGAGTCTTGAAGCAAAAATTGTTATCATTTTTTTATTTGTAAGCGGAATTATCATTACTGTGTTTACGACCTGTTATGATGGTTGTGTAATCTCAGCTGGGGATGGATTTTGAGGCTGTCAGATCAGAGTCATCAATTATACACGTCTTTCCATTCAATTCAGAGAAAAAACGTGGGGGAGTTGCAGTGAGGACGGTAATGTGCCTTTTTGCTTTTGCTTTCTTGTTTTGCTAACATATCATGTTGGATGCTCAAGTATAGTTGGCATCATGTTGGTAACTTGATATTTGAAAGTTAAGGTATAATGTATTATGCATTATCTCTAACATAATTTTTGGTATTATTCATAAAGCATAAATGTAGTGTGCTCCTTCCTTGGCTTCAGTCAAATTCAAATCTGTTTTGGTCCTATACAAGGGAGTCAAAAAAGCCCTAGGCGAGAGGTTCTAGAGCGGCACTCACCTTAATGAATTAGGATGCTATGATTTTTTTTTTAAAAAAAAAAAGGCATATAGACAAAAATATTAAAAACATTTTGAATTAAACCTTCACATCCATGTTAAAGAATTATGCCCTATGAACAAAGACTACATAAATGTTGTAGCCATGTCAATCATATGCTATTAAAAAAAACAAAGGCAGAACTCACAACTCAAGTTCAAAAATCTTTCAAAGACATAGAAGAACTACAAAAAAAAGGGGCCTCTGATATTAGTTATTTGAATCAAAAGTAAAAACCTGTGAAAGTATCACCTTAATGGTATTTTTAATTTATAACCTGAAAAAGGTATACACTACTGAAGCCCCTCTTTGTTTTTCAGCTTTGTTTACAGAACACTAAGAAAGTAATAACCTAGATAATAATGTTTTGATGCAATAACCGAATATTCTAAGTTTATAATGTCTTCCCCTCTCCCCCCCCCCCGGGGGTAAATCAAGTAACTACCTCCCTCAGGGGTAACTAGTTTGAATTTCTTGGAAGAGTTTGATGGGCTGATTATGTGTCAATATATATCAACTTCTCATGATACCTCTAGATGCTATCGGAAAGAGTAAGGCCTAACTTATGCAGCTTTTTGGTTGATTGTATCAGATTGTTTAGGAATGCAAACATCTTTAAGGGTGCAGCTTTGCCCCTTCAAATGTTACAGGATAGGATCATGTCTTCTCTTAGCAGTTTTCCTCCTTGTTTTCAGCTCTACTTTTTTGAAACCATTGTAGTTCTTTGTCTTCTCATACCCCCACCCCCCCCTCCAAAAAAAAAAACTACAAGAGATCTGGGGTTTATGGTTTTTCCTTATGCTGTGTTGACTAGTGAAATTTTGAGCTTGTATTTTATGACATGTTGGAACATATGCTAAAAAGCAAAGACCACAGAGAAGTTGAATGATATCAGTTGCATCCCAAGTTCTCAAGGCATGAAGCAGTATTAGTTGAGCGTTGTTGGGAGATTTATGCATTTAATTTTGAAAAGATAGGCAAAAGTTTTGTATCCTCTTGTGGCTTTACTGACTTGATATTTTGTTACTGATAATTTGACGGTGTTCTGCAGCCTGACTCTAAAGTTCATATACATTGGAAAGGTGCTGCTGAGATAGTACTGGCCTGTTGTGCAGCATATATGGATGCACAGAACCAGTCAGTAGACATGGATGAAGAGAAGGTTTGAGAAAGTAGCTTTATGTTTAGCTGTCAGAATGAGTTTTGACAAAAATTTGTTCTTTTATATCATTTTGCAAAGAGGTCTCAGTGAAAGTTTTGTGGTTTACAGATGACATATTTTAGAAAAGCTATTGAAGTCATGGCTGCTGACAGTCTTCGCTGTGTTGCCATTGCATATAGACCTTATGAAATAGAGAAAGTTCCAACTAGTGAAGAAGAACTTGCTCGCTGGTCATTGCCCGAGGATGATCTTATTTTATTGGCTATTGTTGGTCTGAAGGTATTTAATAACTAATAGCTGTCTTATATCCTGATTATTATGTTGTCTTATATCATATTATGCTTTGATAGCAGTGTCGCATACTCTTTGGAGGAAGTGGGAAATTTATTTGTGTGACGTATTTTTATTTACTGTCTGTTTCTACTGTGCCATACTTCATTGCTATGCTATGTTGCACTTCTATCTATAAGGTGCTTTTTAAATGGTTGCGTTTCTTTAGACATGTTTAGATTTATTGAGAGTCTGTAACTTGGTGGCATGTGTCACTTGAAGTATGCTTCCACATGTTAATTTCTACCAGTTTTGTATGTTGTTCTTATCCTTTATGCATCGAATTGCAGGATCCTTGTCGGCCGGGTGTCAAGGATGCAGTGCAACTTTGTCAAAAAGCTGGAGTGAAGGTATTGATTTTATGCTGTGATCATGCGTGCCATGTAAATACTTGGTCGTCAAGCTTGTTCTAGCGAACATGATTTAAATACAGTTGGAATTTGAGATGGTGCACTGGTAGTAATAGTATTCTCTTTATTGAAACATGAAACTAGTGGTTTGCTAGACTCTTACCAATTATTTGTACAAAATAAGAGTGGACGAGAATAATGGACTAATCACTCATTCAATTGGTTCTGGTTATCTGGATTTTTCTTCTTGCAATTGGTGGGTGGAGTTTGAATTTCGATACCCCGCTTTGGATAGTTGAAGTGGTTTGGTGTTGATTTTATCATGTGAAGTTTCTGTATGTTAGACCTTGTTGATATAGTATTAACTGTGATTCCTAGGTGCGAATGGTCACCGGCGACAATGTGCAAACGGCAAAAGCAATTGCTCTGGAATGTGGAATACTTGGTTCATCTGCAGATGCCTGGGAGCCAAACATTATTGAAGGCAAAAGATTTCGGGAGTTATCAGACAGAGAGAGAGAGGATATTGCAGAAAGGATATCGGTATTGTCTAACTACTGTGGCAACTTATTTTACCCCGCACTCTCATATAATGCCTAAATGTGTTCCATTGGTAATGTGTAGGTTATGGGGCGGTCTTCTCCTAATGACAAGCTTTTGCTTGTGCAAACCTTGAGAAAGAAGGGGCATGTTGTTGCTGTGACTGGGGATGGAACTAATGATGCTCCCGCATTGCATGAGGTGTGCTTGGCTTTTTGTCATCGTCTTTGGGTTTCTCCTTGTGTGGTCATAGAAGCTTGTTGCTGGCTATATGATGGCAACACTTGTTATGTTGTGCTAAGTATTGTTAGTTCTGTCTGCCACTGGTGTCTATTTTATCTTTGTCGAGTATTAGTGTTATGTACTTATCTTATTTATCAGAAATTCTTAAATACAACAATAAGTTTTATCCCAGAATTATTTCCATTTTAATTATGCAAAATAGTTCATATTGTCCTGATCTTTTAGTTTTATACCTTTTGGGGTTTAGGCTGATATAGGTCTTGCAATGGGCATCCAAGGGACAGAAGTTGCTAAAGAAAGCTCTGATATCATCATTTTGGACGACAATTTTGCTTCAGTTGTGAAGGTTAGTCCTTCTTTTGTTAAGTTTTTAAAATTTCAAGGTAGTTTTCTTTCCAATCCCTATGAATGTGCTTCTCAACACACACGCCATATTCTTGAAATGTGAAATTTGGAAGTTTCAAATAATATTTTATGGTTTATCTAGAAATAGGGGCATTGGCTAGCTGACATATGATCTTGACTAAATAAGTACTGAAGTTGTATTTGAAGCATAACTAATTATAGCTATTGTCTACAAACCACAGGTTGTCAGATGGGGACGGTCTGTATATGCAAATATCCAGAAGTTTATACAGTTTCAGCTTACAGTAAATGTGGCAGCTCTTGTAATTAATGTTGTTGCTGCAGTTTCTTCTGGTGATGTCCCGCTGAATACAGTGCAGGTTTGCTTTATTTATCCTGTTCTCTCTACCTCTTGCTCACTTGTATTTGGGAGATGTTGTAATGCTCGTTGTTGCTTTCTCTACAGCTTCTCTGGGTAAATCTGATTATGGATACCCTAGGAGCACTAGCCTTGGCAACTGAACCTCCAACTGATCACCTAATGGATCGATCTCCTGTGGGCCGAAGGTCTGAATTTTCCAATCATTTTAAGTAGCTAGTAGCTACTGAGTACTTTGATTGGTGCTGTAGGCAATCTTCTTACATACCTGATGTACTCCTGTGGTCTTTAATATAAGATCTAATTTGAGAGTTGATGTTTGTATATAAGGCCTATTTGACATGTTTATCATGATTTTTCAAATTAACCCTATCAATATTCCCTTCAATAATCAAGGAGGAGAGGGATAGAGAATGATTAGGGTTTTAGAAAAAATATATCATATTAACTAATTTAACTAATATCCTTAATTTACTCAAGGGATAGAGAATGATTAGGGTTTAAAAAAAACATATCATATTAACTAATTTAACTAATATTCTTAGTTTACTCAAATTAGCTAATTAAGTCTTACATTAAGGACCGGGGGAGTATTAAATTAGGATATTTTTAATTTGAAAAGCTTTTCCTTTGTGTTGAATGGTACAGTTATATTGGGAAGGCATGCATCGGCCTGTATATTGGATGCGTAGCCTTGCATAATGCATTTTTGTTATGGGCATTCAGCTATTAGGGTTCTCTTCTCAAAATGAAAGATTTGCTGCTTTTACTCTTGGATAGTTTTGTGAGATTTATATAACAGTAATTGAATGATTTGCAGGGAACCTCTCATAACAAATATCATGTGGAGGAATTTGCTTATACAGGTAACTTTTGATCCTGATGTACCGCATTTATCTTGGTTGTTGAATTTGGTTTTCAAAAGCTGGCGTTTGGCTACAATTAATTTTGAAACTGCTGCCTTAACTATGCCTTGAGTGTATGCCAGATCATTTACTGCCCTCTATCTGAATCAACAATGTTTGAGTTGGGTTTTTTCAGGCAATATACCAAATATCTGTTTTGCTTGTACTCAATTTCCGAGGCAGGAGCCTACTGGGTCTGAAGCATGATGATTTAGCCCATTCTCTCAAAGTGAAGAACACTTTAATATTTAATGCATTTGTTTTCTGTCAAGTAAGTCCTTTTCTCTATTAATTACATCTGTTATCTAGGTTTTGTTATGAGGGGGGAGGATGGAGTTTATTTCTATCTTTTATCGTATCACTAGCTATATCGGCAAAGAATTTGAGATTTCATAATATTCGTGCAACAAATTTTGTTCTGTACTTTCGAATGAATGGCAACCCTTACTTAGAATTGAAATTAAGATTTACAATAATGCTTATAATTTTGGCAAATTAAATAGTAATTATTAAAGGGAGTAGCTTTCATTTGAATCAAAATATAGAAGTCTAAGGCATTGATGGAATTTTCTTTACATTTTAAAGCCGTTGAATTCATTCTTATACAACCTTTAAATATTTCCTAATGTCACAATGTATTTGGGTACCGGCTCTTCTTTTGATTATGTGTTGTTAACGTTCCTCTAATTGATCGAGGAAAGAGCTTGTAGTACACCAATTCTCTTGGGGAATCAGCTTAGTCATGCATAAAATACCTTTCATGTTTACCGATTACTTTTATTGGAAATTATTTATTTATCTAGTTTGTCTGATTAGAAGGGTTGTTGTGGTCCACACCCCTAGCTTTATACCAATGGATCCACAAGTAGCTGTATGCGCAAAGGAAGTTGAAAATGGCTGCTCAATCTTCTGAGTGCGTTTTATCTCCTTCCAGTTTGCACTAAGATGATCATAAAGGAAATATGCCTTGCAAATTGCAGATCTTTAATGAATTCAATGCTCGAAAGCCAGATGAATACAACATCTTCAAGGGAGTCACAAGAAACTACCTCTTTATGGGGATAGTGGGCATAACTCTTGTGCTTCAGGTTGGTCTCGTCACATGTCCTCTATCGTGTTGCATTATTAACGCAACATCTCAAGCCACCGTAACATTGTTATTATTTTTATTTTTTTAGATTATCATAATTGAATTTTTGGGGAAGTTCACCAAGACAGTCAGGCTTAACTGGAAGATGTGGATAGTTTCCGTCGTCATTGGAGTCATCGGGTTAGTCAATAAGCATACCTATGAAAATGCTCAAATGCCTATCTTATAAGATGTCTGAATGTCACAAACATTAAAGATTCATGTCAAGCTCAATTCTTTACAAGTTTGTAGTTACGATGGTTACATCGGACCAAAGGTCTGTTAAAAAATTAATCTTGAGACCATCAACCAAACACCCATATTTTGATTGAAGTCAATTATGAGACGCCCATAATATTTATACCGAAAAGGAAAAAGTAGATTGGATAGAGGCTTGGGCTTGCTTAATAAGCTACTAACTGTATTTTCCCGCCTCCCCTTTCTCTGTTGTCATCCGTTCAGCTGGCCTCTTGCTGCGGCTGGGAAGCTGATACCCTTGCCTGAAACTCCCTTCAGCGAGTTTTTCACGAGATGTTTCCGGCGATGAGCATGGAGAAGAGAAAGTGATGATCCTCCCTGCAAATTTTGGTGACATACTACTCAATCACGCAAGTGCAGATAGTTCAGCTAACCTGGTTTCATTTTTTTTGTAGGGCTTTGGGTATGTTAATTTTTTTTCCCTTCAAATTTGGATAAGAAATTGTTCTGATTTTTAAGTATTTAAGGCTTTAGGTGTGTATGGAATTTAAGTTGGTTTCTTTTTGTTCAACATATTTGATACATCACATGTAGGACAGGTAGCTTGTTCATATTTCTAACCTTTTATTTTTTAACCGTTGAATTGGAAAAAACTGTAAATGTGTGGATCATTCAGTCATGATTTTCCTATTTTCACTTGCATATAATTTCCCTTTGGAATGGAAGGGTTGAACCTGCCACCAGCTATTTACAAAAAACAAAAAAAAAGGTTTCATATCATTAGGTTATGAGGCCATTAACATGGTTTTTTTTTTTTTTTTAAACATATTGGGTGATTTGGGAAAGAAAATAGGAAAGAAATTCCTGGATCCTTGGTTCCCCTTCCAAACACCGGTAATATTCTTTGATTTCATCATAGTTCGATCGCCTTTTTTAATATCTCAATTATTCCAAGGTTGAATTTCGTTCGGAATTCAGTTTGCCTAATATAGAATGGAAGCCCCTGATTCTCTTCCGACTACGAATGATTTTTTTTTTAAATGAAATATTTCGCAGAAATCAAGAACCATATTACTCGTACTATTACTAGTATGTATATATGATGAAAATTTGGATAAATTATACCCCTCCGGTCTTAAACGTAAGACCTTTATACTAGTGTATATAAGAGTTTTACATTTAGGACCGAAGGAGTATAAGTTATTAACGGTTTGCCTTTGTAAACATTTGTGTATTGTAAACAAAAGCACTTCATATTCATTGTGATTATTTCTGAATTTATTGCCGTTTTTTACTTGTAGGCGTTTTCTTATTCACTGTTAGAAATTCAATCTGCTGATTTAGGCACTTAAGAGTCCTTTGGGTCAGTTTAGTGAACTTTTTGAAAGTTCATTTTCTAGCAAGCGTAGTTTCCATGTTCCTCACTTTTTTCGTGTTAAGAAAAAATCGCACGTGAATTTATTTGTTTAGTAACATTCAAATATTTTAGTTATACCCCTAATACAGCGGTTTATGAAAAATTCTTAAAACCTCGGATTGATTCACAAGATTATCATCAAAATTTTAGAGGATGAAAATATTTGTTATTTTAACACAACACTTCACTTTATTTTTATCGCTGAAGACAGAAATATAGTTTAAATTGTATTTTATTTTATAGTTTTAAGCATAAATTTGCAAATGCACAATAAATATAGGTTATGCTCATATTACGTAAAAAGTCGTCCAAAAAAAAATATTATGCAAAAAATGGGAAGCTTAATTTTCTAAAAAGTTGAAGCTTTTAGTAGGTGAACCTTTTCGAATAATTTAATTTCTCTTTTTGTAATTGTTTTATCAAACATGTTAAAAGGATCTAAATATAAGGCAATTTACGATTAATTATTCACGCTTTCGTTTAACCGAATTGCTAAGGTTTTATTTGGTATTTTCTTGAGTCTGCATTATGTGACAAAATTCTTAACACACACGGGGTTTATCCTTCAAGACATTTCAACACATTATGGTTGTTTTTTCATTTGAGAATAATCAGACAGATGTTTGGGCAGTCTCAACCTCATCATATTTGAATTTTTTTCAATTTAACTGTCAAGTGTGAAGTACTATCTCTGGTCCTTAATATAAGAACTAATTGAGTATTAAATTTGATTATAAATACAAGATCTCAATCCACTTTGTTTTTTAAATTTATACTCCTTCTGTTCCTTATTATAAGAGACATTTGATGCTTATGGCATGTTCCCATATATAAGAGACACTTAAAAGTTGTCTCTATTTTTTTGTATTGATTTCCTATTTTACCCCTATTTATTTTGTCTCCAACTCATACTCTCTCTTCCTCCCACTTCTCTTCTTTTTAATAATTTAATTGTTCTCTCTCATACTCTCTCCCCTTATTAATGGGGGCATTATTGGAAAAAATATTATACTTTTTACACATTAATTGTCCTCAACTAATTTTAACTGTTTTTTTTTTATCAACGTAATATGATTATTTGTCTCTTATAATAAGAAACGGAGGGAGTAGTGTTTTTTCCTAAACTATCGTTATTGATCGTAAAGGTTCCTACTAAGGGATAGTTTCAATGTATATGATTAAGAAAAATAGTTTAAGAAAGTTTAAACCAACTTAACTAATTTTTTTATTCATTTCAAATTAGTTATCTAGCTTTTAGTATCATATATGAGCAAACATATAGTAGTTAAAGCAGGAAGGAGCGTCACTGCTTTGGGTCATATGTAACCACTTGCAGAGGTCAAATCATACCAGTTCATAAAATTGTGGTTCCTTGTGGTACTTTCTTTCCCTTTAAAATTTTCTTGTCATTCCCGAGTACAATAAATAAATAATATATATACATATATTATAAACTTTATTTGCATGATCATAACATATAAAGATGACAGTAAATAACTGCTTCAAGATTCTCCACAGGGAAACAAACCTGGATTGGATTTACAATTTCTGCAGACACATTGCATACAACGTCAAACTTGACCCCAAAAAAAAAAAAAAAACAGAATTCTCAGTCTTATTTTGCAATTTCTTCAGCAAAAGCATGAATAAGCAAAGTGGGTCTTCTGGGACACATAAGGAGAGATGAAATCAGATGCTGAAGCTTTATTATTTGCTGCTATTATTTCATCAGAAGGCACGAGTATCTGATTCTTTCCTGAAGCAATTCTCATGGCAGCCACATTGGTATAGAAGAGACCAGCAAGTGAAGGCACAAACACATCACTCTCAGAGCATATGTTGAAGTCAATCACCTTCTCATATTCAGTGATCTGTGTGTTCAGAAATTTTCCTCTCTTGTCTTCTGGGATTATGCTTTCCTGCAATATTGCCCACCGAAAGATATGCACATAAGTTTTTGATTTAAAACTCATTTGTTCTAGAATTGGGCCTGAAACTATTGTGCACAGCTCAGTATCTTAGTCCAATGAACAACAACAGAGGAAAAATAAAAATTTTGAAGAGTATGGAAGTCATCGAAAAATACCTTAGTATATGTCTTTGGGAAGATATTTTTAAGGGCATCGAGATCAGAATGCCATCTTGGTTGAGTCACATAAACGACAGTCTCTTGATTGAACCCTAGCCTCTTCAGAAACTCACCCACTTCCTCTGCATTATAACAACTCTTTGTTCCTCTTTGAGCATTACACATCTCAGTCTTCAAATCCACTGCTATGAACTTCCCATTCAAGTTCTGGCTCCAAGTTCTGAGCTTTTGAACCATGGAGCCCACAAGTTCCTGTACCTCTGGCTGAAGCTGAAGAGACCCAAACATGGCCTTACATGCAACTGGGTTCATCATCAATTTCTTGTTCTTATTATTGTCTGAAGAGGGAAAATCTGATTCAATCCTTAAAGTTCCTTTTGTTTGGTAAATTGGCTTCACTATCCTCTCAATGTAGTCTTCAGTGACCCTAGTTGGCACCTTCACAGTTGGTAGCTTTCCATTGGATGCTTGTGGAGGCTGAGTCCTTGTCACGCTTACTGTCCCATTTAAGCTGTCTAAGAAACTCTGAACATCATAGACATCTCCAAAGTTCCTAAATTTATATTCACAGTTAGTAACTGCAGTATCAGAATCAGAAAATTTGAAGGTGTGGTTACTGCAAGATAGTGTGCATAAGTAATTTGACTGTGTAAATAGAAGAAATCATTGTTCTTTTTCACTGTGTATGTATAGGAGCAAAAGCGAATGAAAATGCAGGAAATGAATTCCATATATATATAAATACACACACACACACGGAAGGAGTTAAAGAAGAGAGATAAGAACTCACATTCTATATCCTTGCTTGCTGCTTCTGATGTCAGGAAGCACAAGAGAAGCACCCAGGTATCTGGCTACCACTACTGCATCAGCAATCTGTGCAGAAAAGAAATCACCCAAGAAAATGATGAGCCCAGGAAAGAAGTATGAACAGATTCATAAACTTTCCAAGAAAATGAAAACCTGTGCTAGATGATACTCAGGCCCATTTGTTAAGGAGAATGTGATGAAGCCTTTAGACTGCTCTGATTCTTCTGCAGGTTGGTCAAAAGAAAATACCATATGTATGTATGTATGTATGTATGTAAAACCTGAACATTGGTGCAAAAATGGAAAAAGCTCTGAGAATGAGACAAGGAAGAGTGAGGGGAAGCTTACTGAGCAAAGGAGGGTTCCAGCATGGTTTCAGTGATCCGCCAGTTTCTTTAGAAATCTCTTTGCTGAGGTGTGAAACAGTAGCTAGGTTTTGTCCATTGAATAATACAGTTCCAGAAGTTGACGGTTTGGCCTCAAGCTCCACCTAATTCTCACATTAATCATCAAGCAATACCTTACTAGTTTATTTACTTTCATTTTGCAATTTATATTATGAGATAATATATGTATGTGCGTGTGTGTGTGTATATGTCACCTTCATGACAACATTTCATACTCATACATTCATACATACATATATATATGTGTATGTGTCTCTCTCTCTCTTCATACTTCAATTGTAGACTCCACCTCGATCTGCTGTACTTAAATGGGAGGAGTATAAGCCACCCACATTATGGGGTGGGTGTAGTAGTATGGAGCTGGAAAAATAGGCAGGCTCAAGTTGGCCTGTTGCTAGCTTGACCATCAAACGGGATAAAGTAAATTAGTCTATTTTATTTTCTGATGAGTTGGAATTTTTCTAACCCAACCAACCTGTCATAGGGGATTGGCAATGGCAGCATCATTTCAATTTTTTATATATACTTTTCAGACTTTTTTAATTTAAAATCAAATTACAAAATTTACAGATTAAATTCATGTTGTTTCCATATTTTTATAAAGTTATAATAAATTAAATCCAAAACTTGCAAATACAAGCACATACTAATTATTTTACATATTTATTTTACAAATTATGAATAATAAGTCAATATAAGAATAAAAATCAAACCTAGAACTATGGTCTCAATATAAAATAAATAAAAAACAAAAGGTTTTATTACAATTTAATTAAAAAAATCAAAAACAGTTTTTTCATAAAAGGAAAAGCGAACGAGCTTGCCAGTTACATAGGCTAGCTCGCTTTTTTGATGGGCGAAAATCCACAGGCTGGCCTGCTAGGTTTAACCCATTTTTCTTGTTTATAATATCCATTCTTAATAGTCAGGTGTCTTGTTAAGTCCTAAAATACTAACTCTATCATTTTGGGTCAATAAATTTCTCTGTTTCAGTCATTTAGAAGAAGATGAATCGAAGATTAGGGTTATTCCCTAATCAAGAATTAACAATCTACACATATATAGCAAACAATTTCATATACAGATGCATGTTGTTAGGCAAATGATACAAGAGTAACAAGATGTGAGACTTACAGCAAAGTATGGATCGAAATGGTCTTTCTTGACCATGTTGCCCAGCATTATGAACATTGACAGAGTCAGAAGTCCTGCTAAGGCTTGCCTCAGCTCCATGCTTGACATTGTTTCTCTCTCTGAAGCCTCTCCTCTCCTCCTCCTCCTCCTCTTCTTTTTCTCTGAAACTGTACAAAATCATACAAGAAGCATACATATATATACACACACAAAAGGGGCCTACATTTGCCGACCCAGGTAGAAGAAAACAGAAGATGAACGGTATGAATCAGACGCAGACAAAAGTGAGACAACCTTACATGCGTTTCTTTTGTGGTATTGTATGCCCAAAATAATAAGCCATTCTTGCTTTCACGACAAGATCCCTTCAGCTTTTACTCTCTCATTCATTGATCCTTTACTATTTTGTTGAAATCTCAATCTTTGATGTTCCCCTTCCACAAGTTATGTGCTGCATTGTATGCTAGCTAGCTACTTTCCACCAGTACGGATTTCAACATAAATAATATATAATGATGATTGAAGCGAAGTTAAAATCACACCATAATTTTATGTTAAACAAAGTGCCATATATATACTTTCAATGAAATCAAAATTTAGATTAGTGACAATATATATATATATATATAGAGGGTCATGAATAGTAACGTTGGTGGTAACTTTGATGCATGGGTTGACTTCTCCCACAGATGGACACGTACACATTGCACAATCATATGGGAGCAAACGTTAAATATATTAACCATAATCCAACTTAAAATCCTCAATATAATGATCATAGCTAATTATATGGCACCAAACAAAATTTGATATGGGAAATTCATGTAGACACAAGCAATAAAATTGACCTTTGAAGAAACCCCAGTATGGATAGACACATTCTAGTCTTCAAAGTGCAAAAGAAGAATCATTAGCCTAAAACTATATATTTATAAACTTGATGGATACTTGTAAGCTAAGAAAACAATGATAGGATTACTATAAAGTATAACTGTGATTTAAATGGAGCCATAAATATTTGAATTGGTTTGTTTTAAGTGATTTTACGCAATATAAATACGACAGAGAAGTTTTGTCTCATAAGACACAAATTAGCTATTTTAAGTGATTACATGAGAGAGTACATCACATACGTAACTGATGAGAAAAAAAGAGAGAAGTGATGGCGTAGAACGTGTTTGTGGGGCATATGAAGTTGCCTTATGGGACTTGACTTAACTTTGGTGTCTTCCTAAATTTGGGAAATTCCCACGCCAGCTTCATTATGGATGTTGTCTTTTTATTCTTTTATTGGCGGTCCAATAAGGTCTCCAACGGCTTTTTTTTTTTTTTTTTGAGTGTGATTATATTCTAGCCGCCCATTGCTTTTGTTTCATTTTTTTCCCTCTACACTTGTAATTAATTAATTAATTTTATTTATTGGTTATAATAAACTGAAAACACTAAAGTGGGATAATTAACGTGAATAAAAATTTACGTAGACTTCTTTAATTTCTACCTACCCATATGGAAAGAATTTTTTGTCCACCATCCGTATGGACCATCATGTCTACCCTTCATAATGGAATAGTCGGTTCTAATTTCAAATATAAAAAGAAAGTTTAAATATAAAACATTAATTTTATTTTATCTTTTAAATTTACAATTGTTTTCAAACTGTCTATATTGATTATACATATATTAACAAGATTTTTATTAAAAGATAGTTCTAATACAAATAAAAAAGCTATTTTAAAAAAATTAACACGCATTTTAATAAATAATTAATTTAACTAATTTTTTCAACCTCTACACATTATTAGTTAATTATCTCCTACTTTATAGATAGGAAGGAATCCATATATAGTTTGATAAAAACCTTATCCATACATAAATAGGATATGCATTAATTTTTTTTTCTAAGCATGAGTATCATCTTATTCGATATAACTGTGTTGGAGGTACTATTGGATACTAATGGTCCGTTTGGTTAGATTACAAGAATGAGGATTACATGTAATCTTGATACAAATTAAAAGTCTGATTCAATTATTTATTTAGGCTTTGTAATGTAAATAATATTGCTTATTGGTATTCTAATTCCCTTAAAAGCCTGCATTCGGAATTACATAGGTAGACCCGATGAATGGGATTATATGATGAGAAAAATACATTATTACCCTTTTAAAAAATTTAGGCATGACTGGACCTTTCTTCTCCATCTACGCTGCCGCCATCCTACAGCTCCGTGCGTGTTGTAGCTTCGACCGTAGTGGGTGCATTTGTGCTCCACCCATTCACCACTCACCAAAGATCATTCATTGTCTTTTTTCTCCAGCCCCAACCTCTGCGCACACCCACCTTCTCTCAAATCCAAGATCAAAACCCCTCAAAGATCATTCAACTTGGAGATCCATTTATCACAAAATCTATTCTTGACCAATTACCTCCTTACTCCTCTTTGTTTCTTCGACTTGCAGGAACTTTTTGTTCACTGTTGCTTTTTGGTGAATGATTTCTGATTTTGTGGGAAGAAAAAAAAATATTTTCTTGCTGATTTGTGACAAGAAAGAAACACTGATTTGCAATGACGAAGAAGCACAGGACGTCGGAGGGAGGCTTTTTTTTTTTTTGACAAGGACATTTTTGTCTTTTTAATTTTATTTATAATTAAGGGAATATTAAAAATATATTACATTACCACATCCCTAATATTGTACCAAACAAACTTATTGTACATTACATTACATTGTATTTTTTATCATTCAATAAACCAAACCAGTCATAAATGTAAACATCTCTCTACCGAGATTCATATACAGCACTAGCCCCTTCTGCTAGTAAAATTAATCTCAAAGGTACTAAGTTCATACACACACAATGAACAATGGAAATCAAATTAAGCTATATATTTTGCATCGGCAAGAAAATGTTGGCTATATCTTGAAAGATCTATTGTTTGTTGGGCCTATGATGTGGTCTTTTTTTTTTTTTTGAGTAGAGCCTCTGATGTGGTCATTAGTTATTAGAGTTCAATCAGGGTCGAGTAATGTCTTCTAAAAAGAGAGAGATAATGAAGTACAATAACCTTTCTTCTGTTTCACAAATAATAAAATTAAATCAAGTATTTTAGACAGGGAAAAGTCAATGCATCGGGGTACCGTAAACGTGTTGGAGAAAACAAGGAATACTTAAAAAAATAAAATGGTAACGGATAACATTAAGGCCAAGGTATATATTTAATACTTTAACTTTAAGTAGGATTTCAATTTGATTCCTTATATTTAAAAAGTATATTTTTAGTCTTTTAACCTTAAAATTATTAGTCCTAAATGATAATTTTTTTAACAATTATAATTGTTTTGAAAATTAAATTTAATATGTTAGTATTTAGTAATATTTTATAAGCATTTAAGAGTTTAATATCATTATTTTTTGTTACCAATTTTAGAGTCAGAGGACTGAGAATTTACTTTTTAAATTTTTTTAAGGAATCAAAATGAAACTTTGTGTAAAGTTAAAAGACTAAAAATATACTTTAGTCTAACATTAATTACCAAAAAAAGTCCTTGAAAATTAATGTAATAAGTATGTCTTGGTGTTGTATCATTCAATATTGAAACTTAAGAATAATAGGAGATAAATATTATTGATAATATTTATTATTATGTTTATTTTTTTAAATATCCACAATCGATGGTTTTGGTCTTTGGTCAGAAACTCATCAATCGATGGTTTACTCGTATTATAAATATAATCAAGCTTTCTTCCGTACTACTAAGTGTTTTATAATATTAGTTTCAATCTCTTTCTGGGTAATTTTCTCTTGAAATTGTACAACATGATGGTGAAAACTGAAAACAAGTCGCCGTACGAACGAGGACATACGAACATATATAAAACAATGTTTATTAAAATAAAATGGCCATTCACATGAAAGTCAAAATATCTCTCTTGCGCTACGTTGGTTATCTTTCTTGTGAGAGTTTAGTCCTTATCTAGGAGAAGATAAGTTCTGTGTTTATTTATCATTTAGATTAATATTTTTTGCCAGCTATCTAGATTAATATATAGCATCACATATATAGTAATTACTACTAGTATTTATTAATCATGAAAATAGTGAATAGTGTGATTGTTTTTGAAATTTCAGATAATGAAGATTTGTGTCCGGTCCACACAATAAAAATTAATTTTTAATTGGGAGAATCTCATAAAAAAAGATTGAAATTACTAAATCCTATATCAATTTTAGTTTTTACACTTTAATAGGTTTTGACAATGCTTAATTTGCAAATAACAATATATTTTTAAAAAAAATTTCTTATTTGAGATTTTATAATTTCAAACTTGATTCTCCTTTTTTAATTTAAAAACATAGTATAAAAATAATTTTAAAAAATTAATTTCATCCTGATTTTAATCGGCTTCTTGTAGTCTTTTTTAATAAAGTCTTTAAAACTTCACCTACTTTGAATTTCCTGTAATTTTTTCTTCTTTTTATTAGATTCTTATAGTTTTTCCTGAGTTTTAATAAGATCCTTGTAGTTTCAAATGATTGAATTAAAAAAAAACTACATGAACCTAAGTGAAAATCAAGTAAAATTTAAGGACTTCATATATATATATATAAAAGAAAATTTAGAGACCTAATTTAAAAATCTAGTAAAACTATAAGGACCTAAAGATTAATTTATCTTAAAATTTTAATCAAGTCTAGATAATCTCACAAAGTCAAGCACCGAGATTCCTTTGTTCTTTTTTTTTTTTTATGTTAAGTTTCTTGTCTTATTAATTTTGTTTATGCTCTATATTAATGTTATATTTTCCAACTCAACCATCACATTATTTTGTTTTTTTTCCCATAATCATCGGCTGCTTCATATTAATTTAGATTTAAGAGTTGCTGGACATCCAACAGCCATCAATAACCATTTGAATAAGTCCAATTAATCAAGATTAAAGTATATATTTGGTCTTTTAACTTTTTATAAGGTTTTAATTGGGTCCCTTAATTTTAAAAAGCATACATTTGGTCTTTTAACTCTAAAATCATTAGACTTTAATGATTATTTTTTGTAACAATTATAAATTTTTTGAAAATTAAACTTAATATGTTAACATTTGAG